TTTTTTTTTAGTAGAGACAGGGGTCTTGCTCTTGCTCAGGCTGATCATAAATTCCTGAATTCAACCAATCTACCTGCCTCAGCCTCCCAGAGTTCCAGGATTACAGGCATGAGCCATGGTGCCCGACCTTCCTCATCCGTTAAATTGAGATCAGTATGCATTTTGTTCTCTGAGACATCCCCGAGGCTTAGGCCTGTGCCCAGCACATAGCAGGTTAATATGCGGTAAATATTCAGAGTGAAGCACTGATTAGACCAGGAGCTCCCAGACTGAGTCTTCAGAGACCCATCAGGTCCAGACACATATAAGCCATGTGAAGCTGTGGAAGGTACACTGAGTTCACAGGCAGGGGGCCACTCCCAGTTCTGTGGGTCCTGGGGCCGCTCTGAGCCTCTGTTTCCCTCTCCACAAAGCAGGGATGAACCTACCTCACGGGCTGTCCACAGGATGCAGGACAACGTGCATAAAGCACCCAGCACGGGGCTGGGCCTCAGTGGGCGCTCGGGGCGGGGAGGCAGCAGGCAGGGCTCACCTGTGGCAGGCAAAGGTGCATTAAGGCTGTGGTAGCCGTTGGGCCGCAGGGGGTTGAAACCGTGGGCCTCCCCGGCCAATCCATCCCCGCTGGCTGCTGGCTCAGTTGTCCGGTAGCAGTCACCATAGGGGAAGCAGTTCTGGATGGAGTGGAAACTGCCCTGGTAGCCTGCAGAAGGAGGTGGCAGGGGCTGCGTGAACAGAGGGAAAACACCCAGGGCAGGCAGGGGACGACGTCCTCACTGTCCTGTCCAGGCAGCAGGGGTGTGATGGAGAGGAGAGAGCACGGTATGAGCAGCCTGACGCCCCTTTCTCAGCTCTGCCCTGCATGGTGTGGCGTGCAGGCCAAGGGAGGCTGAGATGATTCCCTGTGACTGTCGCTAGCGCTCTGAGGGAGGGAGTGTGCCCCTCCTACTCCTCCCACACTCAGGCCCAGCATTCCCCATCCCTCACCCCTGCTGCCCATGCTGAGCATACCCCTGTACACCTTGCCCATGAAACAAACTCTTCCTCATTTTCTGAACCAATCTCCTCCAGGATGTGCCCTTGGCTGGGCCTTTTAGGTCATCTGTCTCCCAGCTTCTCCCAACATGGCCCTCAGTGTCCAGCCTGTCATTCTCTCAGTAGCTATGTGCCTCCCCCAGGCCAGTGTCTCATTCCTGAGGGGTCCCTGAGTGGCCCCCAGCAGAGCTTACCTTGTGGGCTGGGCAGAGGCGGGGGCGGAGGGCTCTGGAAAGGTGGGTAGGATGGCTTGCTGGGGAGTGTGGAGAAGGGCTGGCCCCCGGGGGAATGGCTCTGGGAGGATGAGCAGCCTGACAGTGGCAGAGGCGGTGGCCCAAGTCCCTTCAGGGAGCCGACCATGTGCGAGAGGAGGCCAGGCCCCAACCTGGAGAGAACAGAGATGGCCGTCTGGAGGGAAAGGGCTGGCACTGTCCACGCCTCCAGCAGCAGAAAGCTCACCAGCTGAGCTGCTCTGACTACGAGGAGGCAGTTAGAAGAGGAAGCTTTTATTTCTGATTATGCTCAAATAGAAATTTGAAAACCCTGTAAGTGTTAGAATCTGGTATTTAGGCCTGATAGCCAGCAAGGAACGGAGGTAATAAGCGTGACCTCTGCAGTCAACAGAACTGTGTTCAGACCCCTAACTGCTCTCACTGGCCAAGCGACTTTGGGCAAACTGCCTGGCGTCTCTGAGCCTTCGTTTCCTTGAGGGGCCACGTGCGCCCAGCTGGCACACTCCAGTTCACACTACTGAGAGCTAAACCCAGCCGCCCCTGCAGGGTTGGCCTCCAGGGAGAAGCCCTGAATAGCCCACACCACTGACAGTCACCATTCATGGAGCCCCTGCCTGGTCCCAGGCCTCCACCACACAGGTGTTCTTGCATCCAAGTTGCTCTTGGCCATGCAGCACTCACCTCATGAATTACAATGTGGCTAAAATTAAAGGAATGCCGATAAAGCACCCAGGAGGACATTCTTAGCCATTCTATCATCATCATCATGTTGCCAAGATGAAGGGAAGAAAAACTAGCAGGTGGATCTCACATCCAGGCTTTCTTTTTCCCCTGCGTGGTGTACTCCCAGGGACCTTCTCTTGTCTCCATCCCTGGCTATCTCCCCTCCACCCGTGATCTCCTGTGCTAGGAAGCTCACTGTTTACAGTGGTACAGATCCTGAGTGGATGTGGGCTCAAAGCTGTGCTCTCTGGAAGCCCACGAGAGCTTTCTGCAGGCCCCTGAGCCCAGCCCAGCTCAGTGGACACCTAGCTGGACTGCACATGGCTGTGGGGGAGGCTCCCTCCTTGTGCTGCCCTCCTAAGGCTCTGGGGTCCTACTCTCAGGGAATAAAATAGCTTTGGGATCAGTTGAGGGTAGGGGCTCTTGGGACCAGGTGGAGGCTCATAGCCTATAAAGCCTTTCTGTATTGCCTAAGTAAGAACTTAAGAGTCTCTATTTTCTTGTTTGGACTTGGGGTGTGTTGGACCATCCACATTAAAATATACTGCAAGTTCAATGTCACAGCTCCAGGTGACCTTGTCAGCCAGGCATGTTACCCTTGTGCACTGACACATGAGGTGTCAGTAGACAGATCAGTGTCCCTTTCTGAAGGGAGGACTCTACGGAAATGGAGAAAGGAGATGTGGAGAGAGGCTGGGGCTCCAGGTCTGCTGCTGGGCCAGGTTCCCCTGTGCTTCCTCCAGCCTGGGCAACCCTCTATCACTGACCCTCTGCTCTGCTGCCTGGGGGGGTTCCCCATTACTGTGAGCTTGCTGGGGGCAGGGGAAAACTGCCCCCAGGTCTATGCTGGACCCCTGGCCTAGCAACTAACACACTACAGGTATATGTCACCTTTTAAATTTATTTTATTTATTTTTTTGAGACAGAGCCTCACTCTGTCTCCCTGGGTCGAGGGGCGTGGTGGCATAGCTCACAGCAACCTCAAACTCTTGGGTTCAAGTGATCTTCTTGCCTCAGACTCCCGAGTAGCTGGGACTACAGGTGCTCACCACAACACCTGGCTAGTTTTTTTAGTTTTACTAGAGATGGGTCAGTTTCGCTCTTGCTCAGGCTGGTCTCAAATTCCTGTGCTTAGGAGACCCTTCCACCTCAGCCTCCCAGAGTGCTAGGATTATAGGTGGGAGCCATGGTGCCTGACTACCTTTTTAAGTTTTGAACCAAATCCTCATCAAGCCTCCCTGAATGAATCACTGTGATCGTCCCCATTACTTTTAGGTCTGTATGACAGGATCATCAGGTGGACAGGTCTGCCGCACGACAAACTGTGGAGGGCCGTGCACATGCCCTGTGTACTCACTGTCAGGTCTCCCGGCCGAAGCTGGGCTGAGGCACAGCTAGGGGAGCCAGCCCTCCTTCCTTCAGGCCTGCTGCAGGGTACCTGCCTTATTTCCATCTCATCTGGGGGCAGCCCTGACCTCGCTCTCCCCTGGTTTCCTGCCAGGACTCCCTGCAGGAGGGAGGGCCAGGTCTCGGCCCCTGTCAGTCACTGCGTAGCCAGCACTCGGGCCTGGCACATGGCAGACGACCGATAACACTAACAAATGGGTTTCTGAACCTTTCAGCTCCAAAACCCAGAGATTAACAGCATTGCAGTATTAAGGAGAACCAGATCCGAAGGAGAAAAAAACACGCATTTTCCAAGTTTGTTTTCTGTCTCAACCCTGCCATAAATCCACATTTGCCACCTTCACAGCCAGTGAAATTAAACAGAACACGCCTCTATCCATGGCAGACACGAAGGCTGAGGCTGTGCTGCTCTACCTGAACTCTTTAAAAGGAAAAAAAGATCCTCTGGAGCTCCTCTTCTGAGTCATGCAAATGATTCCTAAATCAAATATTTTTGCTTCAATTGGAACCTATAAAAATTATTATAAAACCTCACTGGCCTGGCAGGCTGAGAGCTTCATACCTCGCACAAGGCTGGGAAAAAAAATACCCTATTCAGCGTCTCTTCTGAGCCAGGGTAAATAAATTTGGTCATGAAGTCAGGCCCTCTTAGCATATTTTGAGTGAATCAGATAATTCTGTCAAGTTATTTAAACGTCCCAGCAAACCACTGGGGAGCCACGAGTGGCTGTTCCCTGTTGACTTTGGCAGGAAGATGGCTGAAGGCCTCTCCCTCCGGCTCTCTTCTCAAGGGATGAAAAGAGAAACCCATTCAAGCTGGGCCTGGGCCTGGTATCAGGCACGAGGGCCCCTCTGTCCTGTGGCTAGAGGAGCTGGAGACTTGGGGCCCTGCTCCCGCAGGCAGGGGTGGGCTGGCAGGTCGGGAGTCCTGTCTTGTTGTCACTCAGCTTCTCACTGCAGGAACTCGGCTGGGCACTTATGCAGGCAGCAGGCGTGTGATGGGCAAGGCAGAGCTGAGTGCACAGGCCTAGCTGGGGAAGACCTCTGTGGTTTATTTTCCTTTGGTTGGAGATGTTTGGGGGCTGGCTGGTAGGTAAGCAGCTGGGCTGAGCAGGTGGGTGGGTAGGTAGGAGCAGGGGGCCAGTGTCAGTGGAACGTGTAACAGGTGACACAGGCAGTGCCAAGCATGGGTAGTTGACCCTCACTACCTTCCCAGAGGAGGGGTTTTTTGATGTCTTTTATAGGGGAAGAAATGGAGGCTTGGGGGGCCTGGTCTTCTGGTTCCCTGTGTAGCCTGTTCCAGCTGTGTCTTTGGGACCCTCTGCCCACATTGCAGCCACAATCTTCCCCTCCTCTGAGAACAGTTCCTGTACACACCAGGGCTCATCCTGGATGTCCCCATCCCCACCTGGCCAGGGCTTCCCGACTCCTGCTTGTTCTGTGTCACATCGCCCTCTGGTGCTCCTCCCACCCTGCACCTGGCCATGGCTTAGGAAGCCATCTGTCACTGTATGCTCCATCCTGTGTCCTGCAACCCAGCCCAGTGCCACAGGCCGGCAGCCTCATACCCAAAACTGACCGTGACAGTGTCAATACCCTTCAGGATAGAGTCCCATTCCAGGCCTTGTGATTGGGCCCTAGAGACCTGTCACCCCACAGGATATGGAACATACCAGGCTCTTACCAGGCTGCCTTCATCCTTGCTGCTCCTTCCTTCCTCCCAACCTCTCTACTCGCCTGACTCCGGCCTCACCCTCTTCAGGAAGTCTTCCCTGACACCTTCCCCCTAGGATCTCTTCTGGACCCCCACAGCCCTTTCTGCCTCCTCTATGACCACTCTCTGCAGGCCTGTGTGCCTCCCTCTCACAGTGGGCCCGGGGCCTGCCCACAGGGCCTCCATAACTGAATGAACGGATAGACAGATGGATGGAGGGAGGAGCCCGGGTAGGAGCAATGGGCCACAAACTTGGTGACCAAGCCAGACTGGCCCCAGACGCAGGCATGCCAGGGCCAAGGCTACAGCCTTGGGGAGGAAGAGCAGGCAAGGAGGAAAGTGCTGGGGCTCGGTCTTGGGGGACACGTTTGAGTTACTGCTGGTGTCAAGCCGAAAAGGCAGGGAAGGCAGGTGGTGGGCTGAGAGGCCTCCGCCTGCTCATTTGTAAGGAAACCCAAGCAACCAACCCATTATAGCATTAGAGACCTGCAATTAACACATGCACCCTTTCCACCCACGGCAGTGGCCACAATGAGAACCACATTGAATCCAGGCAAAGGCCGCCCTCTCTGCAGTGATCCTGCAGTCAGGGCTCCTAGACAGCCCCCGAAGACCAAGCAATGGCTACAGCTACAGTGGCCAGAGATGGAGGCCTCAGCCAGCACCTCTGGAGTGGGCAGTAGGCAGTCCACTCACTACTTGCTGGATGAGCCAAGAAAAAGGCAGAGAGAGCCCCAAGGAGGCCTGGGGTTGGGTGGGGAGCACAGCATATTCCCAGGGTCCCTTGGGGTAGAAGAGGGTATATGAAGGGATGCACTCAGAAGCCTGGGTGCTGGCACCGTCCATCTCCTAGGGTTATGGGGAGGCTCCAGTGAAACTATGCACAGAAAGAGTTCACAGCGCCATATGCACAAGTGGCCCATAACTGCTGGCTATTTTCATTATTAATAACAACCAGATAAGCTGGGCGTGGTGGCTCACGCCTGTAATAACAGCACTGTGGGAGGCTGAGGTGGGAGGCTGAGGTGGGAGGATTGCTTGAGCTTAGGAGTTTGAGGTTTGTCTGAGCGAGAGTGAGACCCCAAATCATGAAAAAAATGGAAAAACCCAGCCAGGTGCTGCAGCAAGCGCCTGTAATCCCAGTGGCTTTAGAGGCTGAGGCAGCAGGATGCCCCCAGCTGGAGTCTGGGGTTGCAGTGAGCTATGACACCATTGCACTCTGCTCAGGGCATAGGGTAAAACTCTGTCTTGACCAAAAAAAAAAATAATAATAATAATAAATAATAATAAAAAAATAACCACCAGATAGTACATGGGGCACTTGCCCTTGCCTCCCTCCCACGCAGGTGCCCACTTACTGCCCCTGGAGGAGGACTGGCTTGGTGTGGTGTACATACCCATCCCTGGTGCTCTCGGCCACAGGCAGAGGGGACAGATGGTGGTGGGAACTGGTGGTGGCATCCAGTGGGTGATGCCTGGAAGGGACATCTTGTGTGGGGGGCAGGATGCCCGATGCAACCCCATTATGGGGGGTGATGGAGCCAGGATACACACCTGTAGAGAATCAAACAAATGTTACTGGGCTTTGGCCACTCCCTAGAGATGACTGTGGGCAGCCCAGGAGCTGTGTGTGCCTGATTATGGGGACAGACAAAAAGGAAAATAAGCAAGGTTGTATTAATAGAAGTTTAAGCACCCAAATAAAGGAGGTGATGGCTCCATGCTGCTCAGGGCAGTCTTGGCTAAAGGGCTGTATCCAGGGCTGGGGCCCAGCCCCATAGCAGAGGTGGACTGCAAGGGACTGCCAGAGGCATGGACGGACATGCCCCGTGTGTATATATGGGGGTAGGACATGTGTGGAACAGGTGCTCCGAATCTCTGTGAGGCTCCTCTGGAAAAAAGGGGGCTTATTTTGTATCATCCCGGAAGCAGAGGGGGACCCTGGAATGGAGGGAAGCTTGAGAGAAGCAGACACCAGCTCAGGGCCTGGCAGTGCCTTCTGACAGGTGATGCTGCCATAGGCCGACACGCTGCCTTTGGGTAGAGTAACTATCCATCCCCAGCGGTGTGCAAGCAGAGACTGGGTGTCCACGGTGAAGGATTCCAGAAAGAGAGGACCGCTCCACTTGGGTGGCAGGCTGACTTGGAAGACCTCTGAGAGGGCTGCCGTGGATGTGTACAGGTGATATGCTACATAAGGGTCCCCAGTGAGGAGTCAGCCAGGCTCTAGCTGAGATTCTAAACTTTCAGAAGACACCTTTTAATCACATCTTACTCTCGTTAAGCTTCTTACCCTTGTTAAGAAGACAGGCCATTTAACAAATCAATGGGGGTGCAAGATTAGAGTCAGATGTTGCTCCCGGGTCCCAATTGTGGGTTTGGGAGCTACTGAGGCCAACACTCCCCACGTGCCTTCACCAAGGAACCCAAATCACAGCGGGGAATAAACTCCTACTCTGGGACCAGACCCTGGGAGGGACATAGGAAGCGCTGTAAGTTTTTGAAATTCCCTATTATTTCGGAAAAAACAGGATGAATGTTGCCTCCTCTCTTCAATCTGGCCAAGTTTAATTTTAATAGAAATTGACATCATTTCCCCTGAAAACAATGTATCAAGTGGACGCCCTGGAAGACTCTGTGGGCCCGGGGCTGTGCCCAGAGGTGCACTGATGCGGTGAGGACCAATTTGAGCATGCACTGGCTCCTTCCACCGACAGGGTGAGGGAGGAATTTTATGTACCTTCTTGGCAGTTAGATTTCCAAGGCTAGCTCATCTCAGATGAACTCTCTGACCCAGGCCCGAAATTCAGGAGGCTTCCAGGAACTGAGCAGGGTTGCAGCACAGGCTGCAAACTTAATGCCTTAGGCAGCACAGCAGGGAGCAAAATAGGTGGAGCTTCAGGGGTTAACAACAGGAAGCAGCAAGGACTGTGGCAAAGTGGACAGATGATGTCCTGCAAAGGCCTCTACATCGAAACCATTAGAAAGCAAAAAACAACAGCCCAAAATAACCTCCACGTGCCTATGAGACCAAATGGTTTGTAGCCTCTGGCCTGGAGTCAGAGCAGCCAGCACCCTATGTTACATTAGGTGAAACTCTACTCTTACAACAATAATTACTGTCAACTAAGAATACACTATGTGCCAAGCGCTTTCTCCACATTATCTAGTTTAACCATCTCGACAACTGTCAGCGGGGGAGATAATACAGTCCCATTTTAAGATGCAGAAACTAAATCTTCACAAGTTAAGTAACATGTCCAAAGTCACAGAGTGGGCAGCTAATCAGGCCTGTCTTCCAAGCAGTAGAGAGAGAGTCCATTTGAGGCCAGGGACAGGAATTGATGTGGCCTCTTGCTCAGGTCATGGTCTGGACATCTGGCTAGGGGACTGGGTTCTGGGCAGGCTCTCACGCACCCTTCAGCTCTCAGCCCCAGTCCTTGCCCTCCCTGCCTCTTGGGACCTCCTCTCCTAACGCCAGTGCCACGTATCCCCAGCCACTGCCTCCTGTGGCCACACAGCCCTTCCTGGATTGAGGGACACTCTCCTTAGCCTCTCCTCACCTGCCACCTTGAACCAATTTGGGGGCCTGACAGCTGGGAAGGCCTGGAACCCTTATAAATCCTGCTCCCACTCCCTCAGCCATGCCGACCTCAGGCTGCCCACGTCCTCACTGCCCATCACGTTACCCCGGGTCTGCTAAGGGAGGGCCTCCAGATACGGTCCCGGGGTTTCCTGGAAGAAGAGAGCGGTGCCTCCCATGAGACAAGCGCAGAGGAGTTTCCTGTAACCAGACAAGGAAAACCTGATGTCTCCCTCTCTGCCTCCTCCTTCACCCTCACCCCTCTGTTCTGGACTCTTCTAACCCTGCTCTCCTCTGCCCTCCCTGGGTCTGGGTCCCTGCCTGTACAGTGCCCTCCCCTGAGAACAGACACATGGTGGACGACCCAGTAGGTGAAGGAGGGATTGTTGACCATGAAGATGAACACTGGGGAAAATGAAGGAATTACCAGACCGCAAGGGGCAGAACTGGGGACGCCATGGAGCCTGCTGGGCTCAACCAAAATGCACTACTTTAGGCTGTAAGGCAGTGTCATCAATCATCAGCTGTGAGCGCTTAACCTCTGGCCCTAACATCTGTTCCCGACTGTGCCTCCGCCAGCTATCTGCCCTGCAGCTTGCAGGAGATCCTGGTGGGTTGAAGTCTGGGGAACCCAGGGCTCCTGGTGTTGCCTGGTGGAAGCTTGAGGACAATAACCAGCATAGGGGACATGCAGTAGGGACGGCGTGTGGCAGAGGAGTGGCGTTAGCAACAGGGGCCAGTAGACTATCTGGTTAAAAGCACAGTCAGCTGTCAGCTGACTTGGGTTAAATCCTGTCTCTGCCACTTGCTGGCCATAGCCAGCATGTACCTTAAGACGGGAGGCTCACCGTAGTTACCATACACACTTTTGGTCCCGAGCACCTCCTGCACTTAATAAACATGGGCTGCCGCCTTATTGTTTAAGGGATGAGTAAATCGTTACTCTTCTTGTTCACCACGACCAACAATGGTTGTAAAAGCAAAATGAAAGGGATTTATGGTTCCTATATAAGCGATCACGTCCACAGTCACATGTGCTCGCATGGGAGGTCTGTGAGGGAAACTGAGGCTCAAAGCAGGGAACGCATGATTGACTGGCTGTCCCTGGGCAAGCATGGCAGGTCCCAGCAGGTGTGGCATCACCTGTGAGGCCCCCGGTCTGTGACGGCGTCTCAGCAGATTCTGTTTCTCATCTGTGGCATGCGTCTGACACCTCCCCACGGGGTGGCTGGGGAATCGCTTGGTCTAGAAATTCTAGATGATGTCTTTACATGATGTGACTGGCCCAGGCAGGCACTCAAGGGATAGTTATTGCTGGCCTTGCTCCTTCTCCCTGGGACAGCGTTAGACTGCTGTTCGGGAGTACAGACTTGTGCCCTAGACCGGCTGCTAACTTCTCTGTATGACCAGGGGGAAATCCTTCTCCCGCATAGGCTGAGTTCCCCGGAGTAGAAATGGTGGGTGCAGGGCCTTGTCCTGGGGGCAGCATTGCTAGTCAGCTGTGGCTTCAGAATCCTCAACACAGAGCTCCAAGCTGTCACTGCCTGTCGCTGGGAGCTGGCACTTGATAGCTTTATCCCCAGGCTAGATCAGCCCCAGGGTCCCTTCCAGGACTGCCATTTCAGCAATTCTGACCCTGTGAGAAGCAGCCTGCACCAAGGGGTCCTCTAGCAGGAGAGGGAGCGTGTGACCCTCTCCTGCACAGCACCTGTCCTCCTGGGTGTCCCTGCCCTTGTGGGCCTGTCTGAGCAAAGTCCCCAATGAAAGGGGCCCATGAGAAGGGTAAAACCTTCTCTTCCTGAGGCTGTTTGGCAAT